ACTATACGATCACGGCCAGCGCGCTCACATCGATTGGGGCCGAAGTAACTGTGTCAATAAGCCTCCAGTCTTGTCGGTATCTTTAGAAATCATGTCCTCAATTTTATGGTCCTTTGGGCGTAATTAAATTAAGCTAATTACGGTCTCTAATTGCTAGTTTTTATGATTGCATCTGAAATTGTTAGGCGAAAGTAGCCTGCATGCCAAATTTCAGAACTATAGAACAATCAGAAGTGGGCTAATTTTCGATGTCAATTTTAACAACAAACACACAAACGCGAAGCTGAGTTAATAAAAACGTGTTAAAAATGTACATTTATACACACACAAACTCACGTACACATACACACACACTCTCCCTCTCACACACATGCACGCTCGCAAAATTAAATGTATATTTACCAGAGGGAGAAGTAGAAACTATGCATATTCGTATAATTTAATAAGTTGAAAATACAATGGATGACGAGAATGGGGGAAATAGCCCCCCCCCCACCCGAAGAAAAATTAAATAAACTTTTACCAGTGACCAGTGTTCGCCCCCCCCCCCCCCCCCCCCCCCGACCGAAAATATTGTGCCCCGCCCCCCCCCCCCCCCCCGCATCTCGCTACGCCTCTGGGGGACTTATGTAACCGGGCGCCGACCTTAGGGGGCGCCAAAACGGGTTGGAAAAACAAATTGAAAGGTTGAAGGGGGGTGCAAATCGAAAGTCTGGGGGGGGGGGTGCAAATCAAAAGTCTGAAGAGGGGGTAAAAATCGAAAGTTTGTCCACGGCCGCTGGGAAGGGTCGCTACGCCTCTGCTCCCCCCCCCCCCTCCCCCGGATAAGAAAGTCTGGAAGAAACACTGGGTAGGCGTGTAGATATATAAGCATGAGGCGTATTCCAGAATAAAACTTCTTCGTTCTTATTAATGTGTCTACATTGGAGGGTCACACAACTAGACCATCACCACAGAAAAACAGCATAGTCGTCACCAACCCAACAAACACTCCGTACTGTTTTTTTTCTGAATGGGGTGTTCTAGCATCTAGGTATAGACCTCGTCTGTTGATACCAAGTGGTCATGTAAAACATGCTCAATATTTACATCAACCTAGGCTTGATTCACGTATACTGGCTACCTCAGGTATACAGGCTACCACAGGTATACTGGCTACCTCATGTATACTGGCTACCACAGGTATACTGGCTACCTCATGTATACTGGCTACCACAGGTATACTGGCTACCTCAGGTATACTGGCTACCTCATGTATACTGGCTACCACAGGTATACTGGCTACCTCATGTATACTGGCTACCACAGGTATACTGGCTACCTCATGTATACTGGCTACCACAGGTATACTGGCTACCATAGTATACTGGCTATTACAGGTGTACTGGCTACCACAGGTATACTGGCTACCACAGGTATACTGGCTACCTCAGGTATACTTGCTACCACAGGTATACTGGCTACCTCAGGTATACAGGCTACCACAGGTATACTGGCTACCTCATGTATACTGGCTACCACAGGTATACTGGCTACCTTAGGTGTACTAGCCACCACAGGTATACTGGCTACGACAGGTATACTGGCTACCATAGGTGTACTAGCCACCACAGGTATACTGGCTACCATAGGTATACAGGCTACCATAGGTATACAGGCTACCATAGTATACTGGCTACCATAGGTATACAGGCTACCATAGTATACTGGCTACCACAGGTATACAGGCTACCACAGGTATACTGGCCATATATATATATATATATATATATATTATATATATATATATATATATATATATATATATATATATATATATATATATATATATATATACCATGATCCTAACTGGTCCCCTTTTTATTGCTGAGTTAACGATGATCTAGTCACCGTTTGTACCATCATCTTTACCCTTATGTGCCCAGGTTAAGTCCTAAGCACCCCACTGTTATGATACGGTGTGATAAAATCGTGGAGCATACAACTACTAACCGATAGTCTTGCATTCGAAGCCCTCTTCAAGTCCGTAGACGTCCCTGAGTCCACCCAGCTCTGATAGGTACCTGACTCACTTTAGGAAAAATAAAGGCGGCTGACCACGCTATTTTTTTATATGCCGAAGCCATAGAAACAGGTAACTTTATTTGCCCCATGGACCGTCAGGTTTGAAAGGGAACTTTACTTTTATCGCACTACTGTTAAAAAATGGCGGATGTTTTGTCTCCCCAACTCCCCCCCCCCCCCCTCAATTACATCGATTGGTTTTGATCCTACGCTGTCTGATAATGCTCGAATATCTTGTAAAACGAACTGTATTCACAAAGCAACAGACGATGTGGGCACTCATCAGACAAACCAGCGCTCACCACATTGCTCGGTTCCTGTAAGTGGCGAGACAGTCTGGAAGCGCCGTGTGTAAGGTGCTAGGTCTGTGAGCCATTCGCTCCTCATATCTTGTTGTAACTTGTTAAGTGGCGGATCTACAACTACATTTGTCTGGATCTTTATATCTTCATTGTTAGATTTCGTAGATTTTTAAAAAATTTCATCGGTGGATATTGGTGGATGTTTACACTAACATTTGATGATGTTGGTGGTTTTTTATAAATAACATTTGCGGATGTTGTGGATTTTAAAAATTCTGTGGCTAATACAGTGTATTTTATTTTCCGATCAGTTAATTATATGGTTGAATTTTATGGTTTGAAATGTGGTTATTTTGTTCGGTTCGTTGGTCTGTGTCTTTTACCGAATGATTTTTTTTTTAATAAGATGAGTTCTAAAATGTATTAATCGGAGAGGGGGAGGGGGGTACATAATAAGCACGCGAAAATTAATTTAGCTAACCTATGTATTTAAATATATAATTGTTGTATGCTCAATCTTTCAGCTTACGGAATTCGTTTTAAATTCACTTAAATATTTCGAAAAACAAAAATGCGTTTATTGCAGGCGTGGGTCGGAATCCGTTTTTTTTTTTTTAAATTAACGCTTTTATAAACAGTTTTTGCTTACAATATTTAGATAGCCATCTTCATCTCGGTTCTGATATTGTTATTAGTTGTTAAAAATATATATTAAAAATAAACTGCATATGTGAAATTTTATTATATAATACTCAGGCCCATGTTGTAAACCCAATGAACGGAGTCTTTATTTCCATTCAAAAAGCCGGCTGGTGTTCCCCAACAACTGGATGCTGACCGCTTATCGCCCGAGTGTTGTTTTTTTTTGTGATATCAAAGACACTTGTCAATTCTTTCTGTCTATCAAGTGTCACATAACTTGGCCCAGGCCGGAAATAACTAGTTTTGTTGTGTTTGAATTTAAAAATATATTGTGGGTATATAGTGATCACGTTTCGGAGCATGTTGGTGTATTAGTGAATACAAGTTTTAGTTTCGTTTTGAATGAGGTTTCTGTCATGGTTTGGTTTATCTCAGTTTAGGAAAATGGAATGTGGGCGTTTGAAAATCTGGCTTCAGTAAAAAAATATGTAATCTTTACACACAAACACAAAGGCGGTGTTGTCGGATTATAGAGCGTACGACTACTTACCTGAAAGTCTCAGTTCCTACACAGGACTAGAGTCAGTTTAGGTACCTGACTCATTTTAGGTAAAGATAATCATCCTCATCTTTTCCCGTTCGTTCCAAAGACACGCTGGGCAGATGAAGTATAGTTCATCTGCCGAAAACTGTTTCAGAGACCTCGGCATATAGTGGATAAAGTGATCAGCACTATGCCCAGCCGCTTTTGCTTTCCCTAAAGTGAGTTAGGTACCCATCTTGAACCCGGATTCGAACTCGAGACTTTCGGTTAGCAGTCTAACTCTCTACCGCTAGGCCACGCCGTCCCATGAAAGTAAAGATGACTGGACGTATGCTGATTACATATGCTTATACCGAGGTCACCGAAAAGGTAAACTTTACTTTATCAGCGCGGGTAACTGAACACAAATCATCTATATCTCTATATATAATTCTCTTCTGGGAGACGCTAGAAAACAAGCTGTAAGCGCGCTCCCTACCACCCCCACCCCTACATGGTCTGGTGAGCTATGGTTCACGCTAAATGTTTACAATCATAGAGCCGTGTTTAGTGACTCCTATTAGGGGCAGATAATTAAGTTTGAATCTATTTTAAACTTAGGGGAGGTAATTAAGAGGAGGCTGCTTTCACGGGAGGGGGGGGGGGGGGGGGGGTGGGGGTTGTGGGAAATGAAGGTGGGGGGGGGTATCGTCCTTAACGACCAATTGATAGTATTTTTAAAGCAAATATTTTCAGTGGCAGCATTGGTACTGTCGAATTCACAA